TTGTTCTGCTTGTATAGTTAACTGAAATCCTCCATAAAGATGCTCCATCTCTGCATGGGCTTCTCTGAGGGGATGTCATAGCTTTGGATTGAGCCATCATAACGATTGGGATCCCTCATCCTACACCTACCTGGAAGTTGGTTCCCGGCAGTTGAGTTTTGTATTTAGAGCTAAACCAGTTAACACCATGCCCTCACACATCCCCTATCATACCCCTGCATGGATATCAGTTCCCAGTGGTTGAGTTTTGGATTTAGAGCTGAACCAATCAACATGATGTACTCACACGTGTTCAGGGGGGTGCAAGGTACCTCACTGATTTTGCCTTTAGTGCACTGCTCTGGTGTTGTTGGTCACAGTGGGTGCACTTACTGTTGGTTGCTCCACCTCTTTCTCTTGTGCCAACCCTCAATGTTTTTATGCCAAGGATGTAACCGCATTTGAGGTGGTCTGGTCTGTTTGGTTTGAGTGAGATATTTAAGTATTTCACTTTGCTCACATGTGCACTGTTCCCCAATCAGTGGTGGGAATTTCTCCTTCTGGTTGGCTGAACTTTAAAATGAAGACAGCATGATCCTCTTTCCTACCCCTGTATGAATGTCAGTTTCCAGCAGTTGAGTGTTTCATTGTAGTGGACTTACCGGCAGTATAATCCTTGTCCTACCCCTGGATGGATGTTGGTTCCTGGCAGTCGAGTTTTGGACGCAGTTGACTTGCCGTGTATGGTCCAACGTGCCCTTGCCACTCTACACTTTAGGGCACATACCTTCTTTTACCCCATTTTGTTCATCAGGGAGATTGAAATCATTATATATTGTGGTTAGGATCACTGTTCAACCGTTTTTCTCATCCATTGAGATGTGCTCCTCAGAATTGTCAACCCAGATCTATCTCACCGTTTCCACATCTGTGCAAAGAGTATATCTGGTACAGAAGTGGTGCAGTCTCCCATGTATAATCCTCTTATTGGAGGGTTCCCTCATGAGAGTGTCCTTCAGATGCTTTTACTTTCTCCCTTGCACTAGTCCCTCCACTTGTTCAATGTAGGATTCTATCTATGTATGTGAGTGGAAATAAGGTACCTTGTCGGAAGTTATAATTTTCCTACACTGAAAATATATTTCTGACAGTTACTTCCACTCACACTTCCCACATTTCCTCTCCACTGTCAACCAGTGTTAGGTTTCTGCCTAAACTCGAAGTGCTAGTTAGGTAGAATAGCATAGAAGGAGTCACATGTGTGGGGCACGTCTATGGGTGGAGGTTTGTCGCATGTGAGAATCAGTTAAGCCATGTGAACTGAGGGGTACATGAGAGTGAAAGGCTTGTGGCATGTGAAAAATAACTTGCAAATAGAGGACAGCACTGAATGAGAATAGCTATGTATGTGAGAAGAAGTAAGTACCTGTTGGAAATATATTTTCATTGTAGGAAAAATTGTAACTTTTGTATTTTCTGGTCAGTTGCCAAAGTTGTAACCTCTTTATTCTTCTGAATATCTAAATAGTGACTTTAAAAATCACGGTTTAAATGCTGAAAGCCGGGGAAACATTGGTAAACCAATAGTTTCTAAAATGTTATAAAACAAGTTAACTGCAGATGATTTTTTAAACCTTAATTTTGAAAACTATAACCTAACTTTTTTTCTCAAACAATATATACTCAATTAAAGTGAAGGATATATTATGTTTCATATATATATTTTACTGTAACAGCTCAAAAATATAGTTTTAGTTAACTTGTTGAATCAAGTAGTTCATCATTGTTCAATGTTTATTATTTCATCATGGTATGTTTCCTGACATTAGTGTTTTCTATATTATTTTTCTAACATCATTGTGATCCCTAAAGATTACCTGTCTCAGTCAAATCATTCAGCTGACTTGTTAATCTGTTATTGCATGGAAGTTTTAACAAAAGTGCATAAGTTGGTTTTTATTGCTAGGTGAATTAATTTGTCTCAAGTTTATGAATATTGTTATTTATGAATGTTTCGTTTTTCTATTGTTTGTTGAAAAATGTGACCTTATGAGAGAGAGTTAACCTGAAAGATAAATGGAAATTATCTAACATACTAGAGCAATATAACATGAGAACTAGTTAGTGATTTGACCTGTTTGGTAAATAAACAGAAACTTTTGAAAATATTCCTTGTTTTTATAATGAAAAATAAATATAAGTAATTTGAGATGTAATTTAAGTAAGTAAGTAATTTAATTTTCCACTTTATTTGTAGAAAATTTGGATATGTTTAAATAATTTGAATGGTGAAAGCCTCTTCATAGATTGAAATGTATCATTATCTTACAATATTATGGGCTTTATTAGCATCTAGTGCATCAGATGAATCCAATACGAGTGATTTTGCTGGATCATCTCACCGATTACCTGTAGACAACAGCAGTGACGAAAGTGGAGTGCCTTTAATGACAGATATATCCCAAGGTTCTCTGGGGTATTCAGGAGCATCAGGAGGTATATCACGCCAGCAGCTTCTCAGTGGGCCATGTCCCATATGTGGAGATCGTATATCTGGATTTCACTATGGTATCTTTTCTTGTGAAAGCTGCAAAGGTTTTTTCAAGAGGACAGTGCAGAACAAGAAAAATTATGTGTGCCTCCGAGGAGCCAATTGTCACGTAGCAATCAACACCAGAAAGAAATGTCCAGCTTGTCGATTTAACAAGTGTTTGAAGATGGGGATGAAACTGGAAGGTACATGTGTGTTTTTTCTAAAATGCAATTATAATAGAGCTTTTATCATTGCTATATAATTTTTGGCTAACATTACACCAGAATTTTTGTGTACACATTTATGGCTAAACAGAGGTTGAATTTAATATGGTCTCAGGAGCCTATGGTCAACATAGGCTTTGAAAAATTTCCCATCCAAATGTTTCAAAGAAGTGAAGTGTTACAGGCGTGGACCATCTGCTTCTAGGGAGTCTGGGGACATTCTTCCCTAAAGAATTTTGAAATTTTAGATGTACTGAAATGCACTCTGGTACATTTTTTCATAATAATTTCATAGAAAATTTAACAGCTTTTACATCCATTATTCTTACCTTTTCCATTTGTTTAGCAAGTGAAAAAATCAATACTTTTATATTTGCAGACTATTATTTCAATTGCACATCATTTATTAATTGCACATTATATCCTATTTTGGTTTAAAAAAAATTATTGCATCATTGAAGGGGGAATTTTAAATGTACAGTAATGTGTAAGCTAGAGCAAAGTATTGTAGTGAATCAACTCCTTAATTATTGAATAACAGCTGACATACCCATTAAGTGTATGAGGAAGGCAAAGAGACACCTGGGGTGACATGGGAGGTCAGATCCAAATGCCAAGGTTCCACAAAGCACTCTCTATGAGGGGAGGGAGCTAAGGGTGCATGCCAGGATCAGTGACAATCAGTCCAGCAGTTCACCACTTATAAGTTTACACATATACAAACTTTTGACAAATAATGGTTTAGATTATTTTTAAGTTCATCATATTCAAACAACGTGTATAAATTATCATATAATTTATTGAGAAGAAGCCATATTTGTTGTATATAAATGATTGAATAATAGTATTATTAGCCTGACAAAGGTAATGGTAACAGCATTTTGAAAGGTAAAGTTCAGGGATGCCAATAAATCTTGGGCAATTTTTGTTTTTTACTTTTCTTTTTATGATTTATTGCTGGAATCAATGACTAATGTAATTGGCAAAATAAATTATGGAAAGAATTATGTTATTAAATATCAGAATAAATTAAGTTGACTAGACATATAAAATTGAACTTTTTGAGCAGTGATATAAAAATTTTTATCTGCAGTAATCTATTTTTTTAATGATCAACAGACATTTCATACACATTTCTCTCTGACCTAACTTACTTAATTTCAGATCGTAAGCTTTTTTTTTCCTTGCCAGAGCAGAAGATTATATATCACCTGACAAACAATTTAGCATTAGTTTCGCATAGGCATACATGATCTTAGTACACATACGTCATTGCTAGGGAAGTCTTGTGTCTGTATTAAATATATACTATTAGGTTATAAACAAAACCACAACTAAAAATAAAATGATAATTGTTACCCCATAGTGGATATCAGTGGCACCCCTCCAGTCCAAACAGGGTTGAAGTTCGTATTCGAAAATTATCATTCTCGTTTATTTCATGAAACCACTAGCAACTCGGGTCAAATTTAAAAGCAATAATTTAAGTAAATGTTTGCTGGAACTAAAGAACAGCAATCCAGTGAAGTTTAAGTTAGACTTCCAGGTGAAAAAGATGGCAATTTAAGCTTTTGTGCTTTACTTAAAAATAACAATTTCCTGAAAGTAGAAAAAAATTATACATATTTCTATATGTTTGGTTGTGTGTATTTTTTATGAAACTATAATGTTTTAAAATATTGACTGACTCACATAAGCCAGAGGCTACTTCAAGATCTTCTTCATACATTTCAAAACATCTGTTAAAGCTTGTTTTCTACCAGATAACGATTTTTTTATAACTGACTGTAAGTACTAAGCAGTAGTTTTATAACTTCTCTGACCTTGACATTCCCAAATTCTCATCAAAAACACAAGGTGACATTGAATTCATGTAGTTATGTTTTTGTTGAAAGTATGTGTTTACGATCTGTTCAAGGCTAGGTAGGAAGGATATGTAGTAAATACTGCTAGGTTTATCAGATTCTGTGTTCTGACAAAAGAAAGGATTTATTGTTTGGTTTACTCTGTTTTAATATTCTGAAGTACCTAGTTTTTCCTTTTGTAAATGCTAAAGATAATTTATTTTCATAATTATTTCAAAATTATAAGCCTTTTTTTTTAGATATAACCTGACTATGATATGTACTGAAAACATACTACAACACTTCTGGTTTATCTTTTTGTATGTGTTACTAGGAGATTGATTTGACCATGTTGACCGTAGATGTTGATATGTTAGGAGAAACATGAAGAAGATCAATATATTGATATGGGTATCTATAAGCTTATTTAATGACAGCCAGAAATGAAATCACAGTAGCTAAGATCACCATTTCAATTTTTTTTTTAAATTATAGTATGTATGCAACTATAATATTGTAACATGTTGCCATTTTAATGTGTTAGACACACATAATGCAGACATAGACTTTTATTTACTCATAAGTGACACAATTATCATTCACAAGAAGATAGTTCATGTTACTACATTAATTTATTTTGATTTCATGCGTTTTAAGAATTTTACATTATTTGCTTAATCTAAAATACTGATTTCAGTTGGTTATAGTATCCTTTTTTTATATCCATGTTAATGTTCAAATTTCATAGATATGTTTACATCATAAGTTACATGAAAGATCCAGGCTTTATCCAGGAAATAGCATTCTTTAATATTCTAATAATGCTGAAGGCTAAAATAAAAAAATAACGAACATTTTATAGGGCTAATAGCATTTTGGATAGCATAGAAATATTGAATACAAGACAAGGGATATTATTGCTTCACTGTATGGATCACTTGTAAGGCCTCATTAGAGAAAAGCCTCTAGGATGATACCTGGTATGGTGGGATTGTCCTATGAGGAGATACTAAAATCTCTAAGCTTGTATTCTCTGGAGAGGAGAAGGGTCAGAGGGGATTTGATTAAAGTGTTTAAGATTAGTAAGGATACTGATAATATAGCTCGATCAAACTTTTTTGTGTTTAAAAGTGAAAACAATAGGACAAGGGGGCATAAATTCAAATTTTGGTAGCATAGGACTCGTCTGCAGTTTAGACAGTATTACTTTTCAAACAGGGTGTTTGGCTTTTGGAATGAGCTGCCTTTAAGGGTGGTGGAGGCAGAAAATTTAACCGAGTTCAAGAAAAGATTGGATGAATACATGAATAATAAGGACTTGTTATAATTGGGAGCTGGAAGGGACATCCTTGATGGGCTTATAAGCTTCTTTTTGTCCCTTTAAAATTTTATGAAATGAAAAAGTTTGTTTTTCTCCTCACACAGCTATTCGTGAAGACCGAACCAGAGGTGGTCGAAGTACCTATCAGTGTTCATATGCCTTACCAAATCAGCCTTTAAATGACTCCTGGGTTCCAATGGGACCTGAACGTCTACACAATTCAGAACCACTGTTGGATGGTTCAGAAAAAATGTATCAAAATTGTGGAAAAGGTATGATGGCCTTGACCTTATAATTTTATACTCCAAGGAATAAAATAATCTATTTGTTGTTTAAGACTACTATTTTTCTATTTTCTTATTTAATTTATACTATGTTTTATTCCCTAATATATGTGTGTGTGTATGTGTTTTGTTATAGCAAAGCCACATCAGGCTATCTGTTGTGTTCCACGAAGGGAAATGAACCCCTGATTTTAGCGATGTAAATTTGAAGATTTACTGCTGTTCCAATAGGGGACTGTAATGTATAAAAATACACAAATCTGTAATATTCTAACGTTATTTTCCAGATATAATTTATGAATTTTGATTTTCCACAATTTATCCACTCTTTCCATTCTTCATATTCTTTCAACCTACTTATCTTGTATAATTATTAATTACTGCCTTTACTTTGAATGTAATCAAAATAGACATTATTCCTTTAAACTACTGCCTATCTGCATTATAATTTATTAAGTTAGCTTTACTTTATAGTTAAGCACTGGTAAATCTTGTCATTTATTAGTTATCCACTTCCCCTTTTTTGCCATGTTAGGCTTGCTGTTTGCTACAGTTTTTCTATGGATGCTTCTAATTTATACTGTTCAGACTTACCATTTGTTACAACTTAGAAATTAATCTTTGTATTTTACATTTCATAAAATTTGCCATTTAGTACAGTTTAGTCTGCTCATGCTACTTTATATTATATCAAACTTATGTGCAGTGTGCTTTGTTTTTATGTTTTAAGGGTGTGCATGTTGGACTGGGATAGTATTTTCTGTGTGAAAAAAGATACAAGCCTTTTTATGTTATGTACAAATGTATGATTTTTATCAGCATATTCAGTCTTTATATGCAATTTTTTATTGTTTTGTTCATGATCCCCCTTTTTTTTTAAGATGGCCACAACAGCTCTCCATTCATTCCACAGCTTATACATGAGATCATGTCAGTGGAGCATCTCTGGCACTATTCAGAAAATGAAATGACTAAAATCCCAGATCAGTTGGAAGAGAAGTCCACAGATGGTGACTGTGACCTCTTGACAACACTCTGTAAGATAGCTGATAACAGGCTTTATAAAATTGTGAAATGGTGTAAAAGTCTCCCTCTTTTCAAAGAAATCCAAGTGAGTATTTTAACTTGCTCACTTCAGTTAATCTTTAATGTTAAGTATGGTTAGCTATTGCAGCCATACAAAATTTAGATGAACCATCGAAGCTTAATAAGAAAACATTCAGTAAAGGATAATGCTGGCCAGAGAAATGAAAGTGAGCAACAAGCTCATTTGGCCAGTGGCAAGTGTAAACTGAAAATAGCATTTTCATCTCTTGTATTGCTTAGCATAAGTTAATTTATCAAATACTTTCAATCCAAGACACTTATTAAACAAACCTTAATGGGAAATGCAAGATTCTGATATGATACATTACCTTCGCAGCTAACTGAATGAGAATAGCTATACATGTGAGCAGAAGTAAGTGCCTATCGGAAATATGTTTTCAGTATAAGAAAATGTATAGCTATCCTTGTTCAGTTAGCTATACATGTGTGAAAAGGTAAGTACTTATTTGAAATATATTTTCAGAATAGGAAAATAATAACTTTAGACAGGTAGTTGGTTTGAGCAGAAATTGTTAATAATTTACTGGACACTTGGCTGATGGCTTTATAACAGATACTGTGTCACATTTTTATCATGTCATAAGGTAATTGATTACTTATTGATCTTCAGTTGTCTGAACAAGAAAGAAACTTGATATAATACTGGTCTGTTGAAAATGCTTTATTTGACTACTAATTTCGATATAATAATTTATAATGTATATCACAGTTGTTTTACTTCAATATTTGTGTCACTTTATTATGTAACAACTTACTTTGAAATTGATTCTTAAGTTTTAATTTTGCTGAATAAAGACTTTGTTGCATAAACTTCATTTTGATATAAGATAATTGTCACTACTTGGACATAATGCTAATGTAATAGAAAGCTACTTAGTTTAGTTTAATAAATTAAAATGTTGTTGGCTTTCACTTTAACTTGTGATTTGGAGGTTACATTTTCACTGGGTTCATTTCATAAATTCTTTCAAACTAGTTGAGCATTCTAGTATTCAGTTAACTCCACATAATTAGTTGTTTAGCATAATTAAGCTGTAAATATATCTGTTTTCTTTATAGAGAGATGATCAGATTGCTCTTCTCATCAATTCCTGGTGTGAAATGCTGTTGTTGAGTTGCTGCTACCGGTCCATGTCTACTCCTAACCAAGTCTGTATCTCAAGAGATAAGCCTGTCAATTTACAACAGGCTCAGCAATCAGGCCTTGGTCCTGTGATAGAACGCATGCTGAATTTGATAGAACACTTGCGAAGGCTTCAGCTGGACCAGCATGAATTCGTTTGTTTGAAGGTTATTATCTTATTAACCTCAGGTAAGGAATTCAGCTTGCTGAAGGATCTATTTTAGAAATTTAAGAAAATTTTTGTTGCCCTCAGACCACAAGTACCTAGAGCCGTATAATGCTTAAAAATGCACCAAATAATGTTGTAAATCTATATATAGAAGTTTTATAAAAAGTATAATTAATTATATTTTTTAAGTACAATAACACTGGATGCATAATCACATTAAACACAATTATGTTAAAACCAAAAAGACTACGTACATAATACTTAAATAATTTTTAACCCTAGAACCACAACATGGGGTCGTATCTGACCCCCATTATACTTACTAATGCTACTACAAGTTTACTTGAAATATCACTCGTCAATGTATTAAGAGATTATAAAAATACTGAATGATTACAGATGATGATATAAAGAAATTAATAATGAACATAAGAAATTTATTTTCTCCCATAACAAAATATATGGTCTGGCATGGCCAGGTGGTTAGAGCACTTGACTCACAATTTGGGGGTCACGAGTTCGAATCCCCATCCCACCAAACATGCTCAC